AGCTAGATAATGACCGTAGGAACGTTAATAATGTAATCTTCGTGCGCGTTACTCGACGAAATTCTCAAAGAGCATAGTTACGTGTTAGTCTGCTTTTTCAGGTTATTCCTTCAAGCATTCCATTTTCATATTTATGTGTGTAAATACAATTTGTTACTTTGCCATTTGCACGCGTTAGGCTTATACCTGTGTAAATTCATTTAAAGCGCAAACATTGATTCACAAACCGCTTCCGCCATTCTGTCGTTACCACTTCGACATACTCGTACTTCGTTTTGTTTGTCTGCGCGATTTGAAAGTAATTGCGCGGCGAAAGTGATTGTAAAACAATGTACTAGTTCACAGTTTATCTTTCTTTCTTACACTGGAAGAAAAAAGTGCAGCTAAAAAGAACAGACCCTATATCAAGTTTATTTCTGGACGCGCGAACAAATTTTAATCGTGCTGGTCAATTTTTATTTCTATTTCTAAGAATTAGAAAATAAAACCGAGATTCAAATTAACACATTAGTAGAAATGGATATTAGGTATTTTTCTTTAATAAGCATCAATTTTATTACGTTAAATAAGTTTTCAAACCTATTATTTACCTAACTACTAAAGTGCTCAGACAAGATAATAAATTGAACTATAAGACACGCGAACTAATATGTAGAGACGGACTCAAGTTCAATATATATTTAAAAACTCAATAATCAAGTCTTATTTTTCTAGGATTTGAGTAATACCCATAAAAAAAATATTTCATATATTGTACGTAAAATAATTAATCATCTAGTTATTTTCGAAAATTTAGACTAAATATCTGCAGAATTTGAAATGTATTTATAAATAGAATGTAAGAATTTGTAAGAATGAAATCTTTTACAAGCATGTAGTCAAACTTTAAAAATAAAGTCATTAAAATTTAAAAAGCGTAATATGAAAAGCTTTTAAATAACTTTTCTATATTTTTATATTTAATTTTCATGATGAGTAATTTATTATTTATTGTTAAACATTATAATAATACAAACGTTCTGACTCAAAAAATATTTACGTAAAAATACTTAAGTACTTATAAAAGAATATATTTAATTCGAGCATATTTAATCCAAGTTCGAGGCTGAAAGTAACACTCGTTTTTCAAAGTTCTCGCAGAGAGTCGAACTGATTTCGTTCAGATTCGAGTCTCCTTAAAAGTGCTGCTTTTATTTTTTGAAGTATTCATAGAGAACTTGAAACTACATTTATATTCAAGCAAACGGATTTTGAATCTATTTGTAAGATAAGCGATCACTACTAATTTGTTTATCAAATCGTATCATTCTTTGTCGCGCAAAAATCGACAAGATTACAGAGCCTTATGAATGTCCTTATTGTCCCGATTAGTTGGGAAACACTGAAAACATCGCTCTCCAATTATGCAACGACAGCTACGAATGGCGGATTTTCTCTTTTCCAGGGAATCGCGATCGTACAGCACGCGAGGTGTTACCCATGCGAATCGCGCGAGCGTATCCCCACATGTTAACCGAGACGCCTCGGGGCCACGGCGGGGTGACGGCAGAGTGACGGCGAGGGAGGAGGGGGGTCCCGAGAGGTCCCCTTACACGCCGGTGAGGCCCGCCGTACGTACGCCCGCGTTATTTTTTCTCTGAGATAAGATCGGCACCGCTAAAAATAGCGCGCGCGCACCGCGAGGAGCGAGATCGTTCCCGAGGTACCAAAAATTTATGACAATATCCCACACCGGCGGGATTTTATTGAGATCGACGCCTCCCGAAGAGAAGAGGAATGTGAAGTTTAACGGGGCCCCGCCGTTGCCCTACCATGCCATCATCTCTCCCTCCCGTCCCCCTTGTTCTGCCATACACGACGAGCTTCATCGCGTACATGTATGTGTATACGGGCTGTTGACCGCTTTACATAACGAGAAAAGATACCGCAAAAGCTTTCACGAATATTATCAGTGCCATTACATCAGATCCGCGTAAATGTTTTTTCCGCTCTAGTTGCGGAACGGGAAGCGAGAATTTGTATTGGCGGAACGCGGAGGGAAAGCTTCAACAAAAATGCATCGAAAAGATTCTTGAAGTTATCGAAAACGAAGTATAGCGCGAGGAGATCCGCGCGGCCCGACGAAGGCCGCCGCAAGGTCGAGTGCCTTCATCGTTTCTTCATCGTCCCCGATGGCAGAACGAGGGCCCGAGCCATGTAACGAGAGCGCGATAATTCAACAAGATCCAGCGAGCAACTCCCATTAACCGTGACGCTCCAAAAATAACTTTGTTATCGACCTAAATATCGGTAAGGAGAGGAAGAAGAGGGAAAGAAGAAGAGCTCGGATCTAAACTCGATGTGATACCAGCGAGAGAATTCGTCCGAAAGACGCGAAAAAATATCTCGGGGAACGATCTCGATGCGATGCGATCTTGTCGAATTTACGCCGGGACGGGTAACATTAGCGTTTTCGAAGAAGATGATTCGCCGCGCACTTCTGTCGACACTTCGAAATATCTCGCGACTCCTCGTACGCCGCGTTAATTCGAACGAACGAACGATCGCGCCCCGTGGAACGTGGGCGCGTGAATTTTTCCATAAAACGAGTCCCTCCTTCCCTCCCCTCTTCCCTCCCTCTCAATTCTCCGCGGATGTTGCTCGGTCGTCGGCGCGGCGTATCGGGATCAATGACATGTGTGCCCGCAGATTCTCTCCCCCATTTGCAGGGATGCACTCCGTCCGACCACCGAAGAGCCTCCTGTGCGTTAGGTTGCGCGACGGGCGGCATGTATGCAGAATTCCAAGCCGCCGCAGCCATGCGCCGCCGCGCCGCCGCCTTCCTCGACTTCGCACGCGCAGCAGGACCTACTGGTTTCTATTTATACACTTGGAGCACGAGACCTTGCGAATGAACGCGGCTCGCTCATCGGCGCACCTCTCGCCGTGCACGACTCGAATTTGCCACGCCGCGCCGCCGCCCATGCGTGATTGACCCTCCGCACTCCCGATATCAGAGAAAGATCCAGGCTGTTTACACTTGTTACATCGAGAAAACGTAATCATAAAGAAGCGATATTTTTCCAGCGAAAATTTAATATAAGCATGGAAATTCATAATTGTATGTTATTATGAATAAATAGTATACGCGCGGCGGGCCATTCGGAGTTGCGTAAGATATTAATGATTAATCGCAGAAACAATTCAGAAATAATTCAAATTTATCAAACGAAATGATAGATTACCACAAAGGAATGTATAGTTTGTATAAAAATATCAAAGTGGATTTATTTTATACTTTTTACGATGAAATGCTTTTACCTGCGTTTGAATAATACATATGCAATAAAATAAATTAACATTATTTTATATATATATAAGATTACGTAAGATCTTGCCAATATTACTATTTATTAATTTTTTTTAATTTTCTAACCAATTATATGTAAATTGAATTCTCCATTATTAAATTTGCACATAAATTATAAACGACAAATAAATAAGAAAAATATCAAAAATTCTCTTTTTTCTTTTTTTCTTTCTCGTTCCTTTTCCTCCTTTCTTTTTTCGTAGGTATTTTCCTCACACAAATTCTTTTAAACATACATACGATAAGTATCAATTAATTAATTATGTGCCACCTGATTGAAATCAATCGCATTATTGTTCCCAAAAATGATGAGGTGCTGCCATCTATTACGTCGATTCAGGAATGAGCGATACTTAAAAATAAATCGATGTTTTAAAAATCGACTAAATAAAAAAGATCAAAAAAATATCGATTATATAAAAATTATCAAAGATTCGATTAATCAGTTTATTTTTATTTCTATTCTAATTCTTATTTTAATTAATTTTAAATTCTAAAACATTACTTTCCTATTATTTTTCATTACGTTTTAATTATAATAAGTTTTTTTATTGTCATTATCTTAGGACCTTCTTTCATCAATCTTCGGTTAAGTTAACCGACGGTTAACCCGCAGGAGTGCCAACTGTAATTCAATGCTCAGAAAATAGTGTGTTTTTTAACCTAATATTCTTTTCGTGTTGTAGGTATTTTGGTAGGTAGATGAAATTGTAAGTAATATCCGATAATTAATGTAAATAAAAATGATTAAACAATCATTTGCTTAAACAAAAATTTTAATACTTATCTATAAATAGTTTACTTCTCAGTTGTTGGCGATAGTGATGGTCGAGTTAACCGTCGGTTAGCTTAACCGAAGATTGGAAGAGGTTCTTAGTTGCTCTAGTTTGTGTTTTTCTTTCATAGTGGCTGGAAAAATAGATGAAGGCTGAAAAATAGATGATGGCAGAGAACGAGACGCTTACGTAGATGTAGGTTAAGGCAGAGAAAACGTATACGTATCCAATAACTTTTCACGGATACGTGTAATTTCTTACATGTACGTTTTTCTCTGCCTTAAGCCTTCTACAATGCGTCGTGCGATATCGTGGATCGTGGGCCGTAAGAATGGGCCAATCACAATCAAATATTCTCCCCACATTTGTCTATGATTGGTCAATTCTTGTGGCTTGCGGCTTGCGACACCGACATGCGACGTATTGTAGAACAATCTACTATTACCAATCACATTGATCATAACCAGAACCTGTTACATTGTGATTGGCTGAAATAGAATCGTCAATCGACAACCGTAGCCGCGCAACCGCTAGTCTGATATGGCCTTAATGGAGGTTTGATAGAGCTCCATTAGTGTCGGTCCACAATAAGTATTTAATCTTTAAGCCGTAAGAAATTGACTAATCATAGTCGAGTATTCTTTTCATATTCGATTATAATTGGTCAATTTCTTACTTCTTAAATCACCTATTGTGGACCGACACTTAGAGCTCCAGGGAGCGTCCCAGGGATGCGCACATTTTCAATCGGACACACCACTCACATCAGTCGATGCCTAGGAATTTTCTAGTAAGTTACCTATTAAAAATTTTTTTATTTAATCGACTAATCGGCAATGTGTCCGTTGAACCTCACCCGTGGAGGTTATGTGGACCTCTAATGAATGTTATATTCAGTGTGGAATCATCCACCGTGAAAGTTTACTGGACGGTTAATAGACGTTCAGAATCCTAGAAGATCGTCCACCATGGAGTTTGGCTGGACGGCTTATGGACGTCCACGATGAAATCCTAGAGCATCGTCCATCGTGGATCTCTAATGAATGTCTATCTGATTTCCATCGTGGAGACAGACGTTCGATGGGAGTTTAATAGAGTCATGGAGATCCAATAGACGTCCACTGGAGGTTATGTAGGTAATAATATAAATTTATAACAAATTAAGATATAATAACTAAGTTTTGTATTGTATTTAAAATAAAGAATACACGCTTTTATACATAAAATATATAGTGCGCGCGCGCGTGTGTATGTGTGTGTGTGTGTATGTGGGTGTGTGTGTATGTGGGTGGTGTGTATGTGGGTGTGTGTGAGAGAGAGACAAATGTATTTTTAAATACAAAATATGAAACATTTTATATGAAATAAAATAAAAAATGAGATATATATATATATATATATTTTATGTATAAAAGCATGTATTTTTTATTTTAAATACAGTATAAAACTTAGCTATTATACCTTAATATGTTATAAATTTATATTATTAAATATCTTTTATTTACATATTTATTTTTTAAAATGTAATATATACTATTTTTTTAAGACTGTTCTTTTACAACAAATATATGTGTATTATATGACAATTTTTATTTGTAAATCCAATTTCTCTAATATAATAAATTAAAAAGAGAGCATAAAGACAAGGTGGAAGAGTAAGCAAGAGAGAAGTTCAGATGGCGTTATTGTATAAAGTCTCAACTTGCGCATGCGCGCTGCGATTTTGATTTCATGTAGAGTACTTTCCATTTAGTGACACAAGTCGACACAAGTATCGTTCTATCTTTCTTGATACCTTTCAATGATAACAAGAACAAAATGATACTTGTGTCGACTCGTGTCACTAAATGGAAAGCACCCATATTGAAGGGAGTTGCGCTATTGTATAGCTTTCTGTATACTAAACTATAGAAAACCGCGACCTAGCGGAGAAAAGGACGGGCATACTAAAGTTGGGGAGCATCTCATTTGACTATGTTGCGATTGACCATAGCCACTCACAGCGGCCGGTAGCTAGAGGTTTTCCTTTGTTTTAAACGCTATGAGTGACTAGGGATCAATTGCAACGTGGTCAAACGGGCCCCACCCCTAAAGTTGAAATCTATCTCTTTTCTACAGTGTACTTATTGGTTAATCTTATGGAGAATAACATTAACCAATCCGAGAATCTCTTAACAAAAAGAGCGATACCAATTCGCACGTTGTCTTTCTTTAGTAAGTGAGACATCTCCACTCCTTGAAGGCTCCAATATAGAACTCAATGGTGTTTTTGAACGTAGCCACGAACAGATGACAGATGTCGTATCAGCTAACGAAATTGATCGGTGCGTAATTCATTGACGGTCCAATATTGCACGAGAATTATTGTTTCTTGAAAATAATGGAAGACGCTCTGACTTCTCCGATAACGAAAATGTTCATTTCGTTTCAAGACTGTCTGAACAATGAGCAAGAAGTGCGTGAGGTGCGTATATTCATTTTTCGAGAGTGCAACTCGAATAGGTTAGGTTATGTTTTACGTCAGATCGCTTTTCGCGGCAAACTCGCGATCCGTATTATTTTAATCAGTTCTGATAAGAAGAAATCACGAAATCTGACTGAATCAACATTTACGTTTATATTTACGTTTTTAATCTTGCCTGGTGGGTTATATTCGTAATTCATGTAAACATGTGAATGGTTTACATCGTGGGATGTGACCCTCTTGATACTGTTCAAAGCCGGATTTTCATAGCGTTTTCCGAAATAAACATGGGATAAACTCTTTCTTGAGAATGCGAGAATTTTTGTTGCTGAAGATGTCATCATTTGTTACTTTAATTTTGTTCAAAGTTGATCTAATAGTGTTTTTAATTGCAATGGGTTTTGATCCAAAGTCGTTTACAGATTTCCTTGTGTTATGTCCTTATATAATTTTTGTATTGCGTAATCACGCGTTTCAATCTTTACTTTCCAATTTCGACATTACTTTCTAATTTAATTAATTTTTAATTTTTTATTACTATTATAATTTTTGCATTTGGTGTGTATTATAGTTGATATTGACCTTTAGGACAATGGCCACATAAAAAAGAAGAAAAGGAAAAGATTTGATTCTGATTAATGCTATCATAGTGCATTTCTTATATTTGCTTTTTTGTTTTCCTTTTTTCAATGTTGCATTCTATATCCATCTGCTTTAAGTACAGGATGTGCACTATGATGGCTCAAAGTCTACTATAATCAAAAATGCTATAAGTAATATACAGTGAAATATATCAAAATTTCATGAACCTTCTTTTTTTGTTGCAGCAAATCCGTGTTATTGTTAAGAATATTGAGAAGAATTCCAGGGATATATTAATGACCTTACAAAATATTCATACAGTGGATCACACAATGGAGGAGAATATAAGTATGTTTTTTTATTGATATATTTAATTTTCTTAATAAATTCTAATACTGATGAAAAAGTAAAACAAATAATATTATTAATTTCCTTTTATTTTTTTGTTTAATTATTATAAATTTAAATATAATTTAATTTAAATTTAAAAAGATTAAATTTGAAGGGATAACATATTGTATAATAATTATAAGATGTATCATAAATAATATTCACCTGATATTGGTAAATTACAGTTGTATCAAAATATTGTAGAAAGGCAAGAGAAATATTTGATGATGTAAGGATCCAATATGCAAGTCTAGCTGAAGTGGTACCAAGTAATCAATATTATCGTTATCATGATCAATGGCGTTTTGTTACCCAGAGGTTGTCCTTTCTAGTTGCTCTAGTAATATATTTTGAAATTAAAGTTTTGGTTGATAAAAAGACTGTTGCAGATATATTAGGAGGTACATGAATATTTAAATAACATTTGTTTATTATACCTGAATATAATCTAAGAAAAATTTTTATTATTCTTGCAGTAAAAAATAATAGAGAAGATGGTTTCCATCTAGATCTGGAAGATTACTTACTAGGCCTGCTGCAATTATCTGCCGAATTAGTATGTATATTTATAATTTTATTTCATAATGGTTTTGTAACAATGTGTACTTTTTAGAGTCGTTTCGCTGTAAATAGTGTCACGAATGGTAATTATGAGTGGCCGATGGAAATTGCGACGTTCGTTAATAAAATAAATGCTGGATTTCGGCTATTAAATTTAAAGAACGATATATTAAGGAAACGATTTGATGCTCTTAAATACGATGTGAAGAAGATCGAAGAAGTAGTGTACGATTTGTGCATTCGCGGTTTGATACCATCGCCCCGGCCTATTGAAGAAATGCCTATCGAATAATTTCTTTTTTTTTATTTTTTCACAATATTTTACATTAATATATCTCCATAAATATAACGAGTGCAATGTGCAAAAAAAGATACACGGTGTTCATATATAATATATAATAAAAATATATGCTCTTTATTTAGATTTTTATACTTTAGATTATTAATGCTAAGTTATTGATATAATTCCGAATATACGTAATTATAAATATACGTAATGTATGTAATTTGAATTAAAAAAATATATAAGTTAATCTTATTTATGTTTTATAATCTTTAAAAAATTGTAAAGTGTAAAATTAAAACTTATAAATTCCGATATCAGAAGTGATATACAGCTCAAGATACTCAAGAATTATTTATCTCGATCTATATATCTTTACTCATTATATTTTATTGCATATAAGTTTCATTGTTCCGACGTACGATATTTGGTGAAATTAATAGCCTTTATTAAAATCAAATACGTTTATCATATTTTCTCCATTCATGTATCTAGTATAATTTGTAGCAAATAGCTTTGCAACGTTTTGTGGAACCGTTCGAGCCGAATTATGAGGTGAAATAGTTACCTAAACAGATATTAATGTCATATTAATTAATTCTAGATGAAAGCTTTTTTATCTATTGGTTAACAAATGACAATTACTTGGGGTAATTTCCATAGCTTACTCTCTTCTGGCAGCGGCTCTTCTTCAAACACGTCTAAGATAGCAGCTGAAATCCATTTTTGCTCAAGAGCATTTATCAGATCTGCTTCTCGAATAACAGAACCACGTCCCACGTTAATAAAAACTGAATCTTTATTTTTACAATGCTGCAAAACATTCCCGTTTAAGAGACCCACTGTATCCTGAGTCGAGGGCAGCACATTGATGACATAGTCGCAATTTTTCAGAATGTCTGACAGACCCTCTACAGTTCTGTATTCATCAAGATACGATAATTTCTCTTTTGGAACGGTACGTGTCATTCCCCAAATAGTCGCGCCAAACAGTTTTAGTTTTTCTGCCACTATAAAAATATTAAGAAATGAAAGAGAATTGAAAGAGAAATTTTTTTGATATACAATTTAACTCTTGGTATTCATAACTCACCAGATTTTCCTATCGTTCCTACCCCTAGGATACCTACAGTTAAATCATGTATATATCTATGATCCCCCAGTTTACCATCTTGTTTCCACACAGCAAGTTTTTGATTCTCATATTGTTGTCTCTGATCGCGCTCATAATTAACAATCTGCGCTATTACGTATTCAGACATGGCTAGACCAAATGACTCGTCGGAAAAACGAGTCAGTATATAATCTCTTTGCGTGTTCTGTATATGTGGAATAAATTTGTCCAAGCCAGCCCATGTCGCCTGTATCCATTTGACCGATGTCAACTTGTTTGCATAAGGTATTAATAAATCGCAATCGGCCACTAATATTTCCGCTGTGTTAAGCTTGGATAAAGTATCTGATTGTCCTATAATTCAAAAGTATATTTAATAAAATATTAAAAAGTATATTTAATAAATATATTTAATAAAAATACGTACATTTAAATTTATTTAGATAATAATTTAATCATATGATTATTTATAAACTTTATTTTACATGCATATTTTTTATAAATTTTTCTCTGAAATGAATTAAGAAAATTGTAATGACTATGATAAATATATATTTTATTTCAATCTCAGAAAAGCGTAGTTTTTTATTATTTTTATTATACATTTCGTGAATGCTTGTATTTCCGAATACAGTCTTTGTAATTTTTATTGTATCTATTTAGATTTCTTTATTTATTTATTTACTAATTTATTGGTAACCGACAATTTGGTTTATCAATATTAATCTTAACTCTTTTAAATTTTTTGACTGAAAGAAATAAAAAAAAAATCATGTATTACAATATTAATACGAAAACTAAATATTTTACTTAAAAATTATGAATTTAATATACATAATCGGTTTTGTATATTTCATATGATATGTTTAAATTACTTATTGATGCCATAATGACTCAAAATCTTCTTATAAATTATTAATTATTTTTGTTTTTGCAATTGATTTTAGGGGATATTCATAATTAAAAATTTTTGTTATTATATTTTCTATTAGGAAAAAAATATAAAATATATATAATAATAATAAAATATATAATATAAAATAATTTCAAATAGTTTCTTTCATGAAAACTATGTAATTTGTGTTTATATTTTAACTTCTTCGTCATTCAAATTGATTTATTTAATATTATAAGTAAATATGTAAACATAAGAAATATGTTCTTTTTAAATTTTTATGACTTTTTACTAATATTATATAGCCAATATGATTCTTATACTTTGATATCGAATTATTCGCAGCGAGATATAACATCGTTGAATTTTTCCGCTTTGATGCGCGTGCCCTCTTGTGGAAACAACGAGAGATCTCAGGTAGAGGCAGTGGGAATTCGACACGTGCTCGTCGCGAGGGGGTTATCATCGCAAGGCGAAACGGAGCGATATGCGGGATAGTTTAGCGAACATGGAAATTGTGTCTTTGGTTGCGGACGTATCGTGATGTGCGTGTACGAAGCACTGTTACCTGGCGACACGTCTGAAATGCGCAGATTCGGCAGCCGCGACTGCAGGTGGTAAGATAACCTAGGAATCGTGGACAGAACCGCGATGACATGCGTCATGTTGTACGCCCAAAGTTGTCATGATTCCGCCGCACGATTTCCGTGACGGACGGCTACGTGAGTCAAACATGAGACCTAACTCCGGTTTGTTTCCGCTTTCATCTCGCAGCTGAAGGCGATAATACGTCGTCACGTGTTATCGCGACGCATGTTTTGGCGCCGTGACGTCGAACGTTATTCATGATCAATTTTCAAACACCTCGTCGGCGAACGCGATGGATCATTTGCTTGTACATTTTACACTCGCTGTTTCTTGCGAGTCTTTTTTTTTTATTCTTTTCTCTTTATGTTTAAAACCATGCACGCTTTAATTCTAAGTACAGAAAAGTGATAGATCTCGTAAAATGGTGTGACACTTCTCATTTCGGATCTGGCGCGCATCTCGAATGATTTCGAGACGGCGAATGAAATCGCGACCAACTTCAAGCGCTCGCCGCGCTGCGCGGACGCATGCGCGGGAGTCACAGAAATGATTCTGAATCATTCCTACTGAACATGTCTAGGGCGCCTTAATTTTTTTTTTCCTAATAAAATTCTTGTTAGTAACACAATAATAAAATATAATGTAATGAGAATTATTGAGGAAAGTGTATTTATGTGACGACACGCGTGAGCAAAATAATTTACAGCTATTTTTTCTGGACAAAAGAATCCTACATTGTATTTATATTTACATTTTATTACAGAATTAGATATTTGACATACGGATCTACAAGAAGATGTGAACGCGTGGGCAAACATGCAAATACGAATGAGATTAAACGGACATTAAATGTGTATTGTGAAAGTGTGTTTTCAATATGTGTTTTCAATGAGCAATGATCTTTTCTTAAAATCGCGCATTGAACGAAACGACATTTCATCAGCGCGAAACGACGTTTGAACGCGGCGCGAATTTACGCGAAGTCGTCAAACTCGGAACTTGAGGTGCGCGCGCAGGACGACGGTGTGTACTCGACATACGGCGGGAGCTCGGCAGCCAATAGGCGCGCGTGAGCCGCGTCACAACGTCGGCGACAGCGACGCAGCGATTCCCGCGCGGCGCACGTCCGCCCGCGGAACTGCACGGCGGCGGCCGAACGTGTTAAATGGCTGTGCGTCGG